TGGTGTTGGACAAGTGCTAGGGTATTGTGAACCATCAACCAGTATTTTTCTGCAGTAAAAACCCAAATTTGAATAGTGTTACACTATTTCCAAGTAACTTCTTGTTAAGGTGTACTTTCACTTCTTTATTAGCAGGTTCGATAACATACACTTTAACAATAATGAACAAGAAATCTGAATAATGATAATCACAGGGACAGATATGCTCGTATTCAATTATCTCCAATGAGATAAAGAATACATAATAATGTGTAGAGGACAATAGGAGAAAGAAAGATAGATGATGCTAATGATCTGTGTGTGCATACACAGATCATAACAAAGACAATCGCTTAAAAAAACAAATCCATGGGCACATTGAAAACTAAAAAACAACATGGCAAATGTATTCTTCAAAGATACAAACAGGTTTCAACAAAGTTAATAATGGCCTAGCTTATACCAAAACATGAATAATAACAAGATCAATGTTTCACTAAGATGAAATCAGGTATAATCTTCTATTCACGTATACATAATACTTCATTATATTTTTCAAACACTTTTTCAACAATTCCTATTCTCCGACTAATGTCATTTTGGTATTAAATAATAATCGATTGCTCATGTACAGCGAAGGCCATTATCATAATTGTAAGTATTTCCCTAATTTCAAATCATATAATTGATCCGTATTATTGTATTTACTGATGAATTTAACTTCTGATAAAAAGTGGCTAAAAACATTCGACATCGTCCAGGTCTAAAAATCTGTAAAATGAATGTGTTAAATCTAATTATGTTGATCACGACTATTCATTCCATTCAAACTTCAGACAATTGTTTGTAAAACTAATAAAATTTAGTATCAATTGATTAAGTATTCACATAAATCTTGAGTTTTTTTCCTGCTTTTAATCTATTATGCGTTTTAGTATATCGACATAGTTTATCATTTTCATTAAAACAAAATTAACGTTTACAATTATCATCAATTTCTGCAACCAAATTTGAAGAAATCGTTTATTTCTTAGCAACGGTTGAAATCGATTTTTTTATTCAGATTTTATTTTTCAACGAATTTATAGAAAACTTTAACTAGAAGAACATTAACCTGAACAGACACAAACACAAAGCATGTAGTGTAATTTCTAGCAGCTTCTATAGAGCCAAGTCAGTTTTTGGATTTTTTGAGAGAAGCGTCATCCACTTGACTTTCATGTTTAATTTAAGAAAAAAAGATCTTGTTATTACTTATTTCCAACACTCACTGATGCGCTGCTCTAATCTAGCCATCTTTATGATTTGAACCATTTTCAGTTAACAGTAATTCCATCATAAAAATCTTTTATCAGACCTCATATCATCTGGTTCATATTCAATATTATATTCACAAAAAGTTTTAATACTTTAATCTGTATCGATAGCTGTTTTTTGATTAGATGACAAATTTTTCTTTGACCATTTTCTGATCAAACTACAACACCTTGATACCAATTTTCAATGAGAATCATCCAGAAAATAGGAAGACAATAAGAAAGTCATAAACAAAATACTAGTAAGAAATAATCAATTTTTATCAAAAGATTCTATAAATAGAAGAAGACCACGTAGAGTAAAAAGTTTATCAAGTTTTATAGATTCGTCACACATCCATGACATCATTATAATGAGAAATTAATTCTTTATGATCATAATTGAATCTTGTAAATATACATTTTATTGTAACAAATATTTTCTGAAGTAGTTAGCCTCTCTCTCTATCTGTACATATATATGTTACGACGAAATTTGGAATACATCTCAATTCAGAATTCGTCTAGTCGAAAGTGGAATTCTACTTTCGACTACCTAAGGAACAGAAAAAAAGATCTTGATGTAGATGCGGGGTGTATTTTAAAAAACGATGTACATACAAACCTACTCTCTAGCGTTATATTCTTCAAAATTTCACTCAAAGAAGGGTGAATGTTCAAATATGCATTATATTAGTTTAGGGTTTATAATATTTTTTAAGTTTTTTTTAAATAAACTAAAAATGCTTTTTTGTGAAAGTTTTTGTCTTTCTTCACCTTTTTCTGTGCATTAAAAAAATGATTCGAGTTTCAAATTTCAACTTCGTTGAATATACCATGATTGATTCAACCGTAAAGAACAATAGTGAAATATCAGAATATCCAATTGAATTAGTGATTTAACGATGAATTATTCTACTTAATGGTAGAATGAATTCTCTGGTTTATTGATAAAAATTAGTTTAGAAAACTTCTGTGGATTTAAATGAAAAGATTCAACAGTATTTTGTTTCTTTTGAAAAAGTTTGAAAATATTGATTGCTACAGAACTATAGGTTTTTATTTAGAGTAGATTGCAATGATTTTCGAAAGGAAGTAATTAGTACCTCAAATAAATTTATTAAATGCTAACATAGAACAACGCATATCCCGTATCGATCGAAGTCTATGATATGAGAGATGAAAATATATCTCTCGACTGCTTTACGACAATATTCGTTTTAGATGTGTCCAACATTAATTGTTTAAGTAGATTTATGCAGAAACTTTGTTGCGTGCGAAAAATTAGTATCTTCTGAATAAAAGCAATCTACCAATACAAGTTTAAGGTTTTACATACTCCTTACATACATTCATTGTAGTCCGTCACATCATCATTTTTACTAGTTCCATTCATGTCTTCAAAGTTTCTTTTTCGTCTGAAACATTAACTGAGCACAATATTAAGAATAATACTAATTAATATAACATATAGTGGCGCATGAATTTTATATGATTCTTTTAAAAATATAAAAAATTGAATTTATTTCACAGGTTTAATACATTAGATACTCCAGAAACAAAAATAAAGTACTACTTTTAATATTTTTCTTTTAAAAATTTACTTGAGCGACACATAAAAGTTTTGATTTTCAATGATCTAAATAATATATCTTTCTGAAAAAACGATGAATAATCTTGACCACTACAAACACTTCTTAACAAGATCAAATCATTCGATTTAAATCTCATCTGAATCACATATTCTTAATAAGGATTTCCAGTCCAACAATGACGAATCATGTTACATTCAATCACTATTTTAAACTTCCTCTAAGTAGTTTGCTGCAACTTTATTTTAACTGATGTCAAAAATTATTTCTGTTATTAAATAAAAGTTTCTAAAAAATTGATATTTTCATCTATTTATACAGTTACCGTCAGTTTAAGTAATATCTGATTTTACTCAATATTGTTTAAAATTATTCACCGAAACGTAGTGACTGCTTAAAAACCAAACATTTCTTGAACGAATTTCGACCAGTACAATAGGATATCTGATGAAACTCTCTGAAATTAATATGAGCATCATAGTAAATATACTAGAATTCATAATTAATACGAGATACGGTTTCTTTTTCATGATGGCGACCTAATGATAATGGAACTTTGTTTGATTTGTATAAACAAACATAAGAATTGGTTCCTCTGTATCAGATATAGAACTCTTGTAATCTGTATCCAACGAATAATTGAATGAACAAACAAGGTTTTTTTTTATCATAAGTAGAAGTTTGAGTTCAATTTTTACTGAATTTCTATTAGATTATCTTTCATGCACATCAGGTGTACATTGAATAAAAATTTATGCCACTTGAAAAACTCACGTCAGTTTAAAGTCATATCCATTAACACAACTGTATGCAGCTTCATGATATTTGTAAAGTGTAGTAAAATCATTAGCTGTTGATTATAGGCAATATCTGCTATAGACAAAATTTTGTTTAGAGATTTTTTTATCAAGCTTTTCTTTTCAATACTGCCATAATTTTCATCTTAGCGCAATAACTAAGTAAACTTATGATCATGCTTTATGGAATATAGTGAATATTACACTTCATATAATGGTTATACACGAAGAAAAAGCGTCGAATAGTGAAGTTTTAAAAGATTTTATTAATTTCATAAACTTTATACAAGATTTAGATAAACCATCGCATGACTGTAAAGTTAATAAGTACTGTAACGGTTTCTTTTATTTATCAACGCATAAATGTTAATGAAAACTATACGTGTAGGCTGTATTCTTGCAAGTTCTCTTTTTTTATAACAATATATAAATGAGATTTTTCATCTTTGGCAGTGCCTTTTAGCTTCGATAGTTTAGTTTAACATATAGTTTTATCGGGATACACAGTAGGTAAAACGGAAAAATGTACGACTTAACAGTAGAATATCCATTACCTTTTAAATCATTTGCTTTATAATGATCAACAGTTGAAAGTAAGATTTGTACATAATTTGGCGTGAAAAGATCTTGATGATCTTTTTCTGATCACCATATTATTAAATAATGAATGATGAATACCATGCTTTTAATTTCTGGAATCATAACTATGACAAAATTGTACACTACAAGAAAACAATCATGATGATTATATGAAATGAAGATTTAATTAGAAATCAACCAATATGTAATCTATATATTAGATGAAACCATAAATATATTCTTCTATAGAACTATCCAATGGAAAAAAACAGATGCATACAGCATTCATCTATGAATCATAATTCTATCATGACTGATATAAACAGCAGTCAAGAAAAAGTATAGAAAATCGAGTTTTAAGATAAAGAGAGCCCAGCCCAATCCAGTCAGCCATCAATATCAAACATGATTGGATCATTTTCTATTGCAAATCAATGATCATCATCAACCACTTGAAATTAATTTAGAAGCTAAATGTAAAACTACCGAATGAAACTTATTATGAATTTGTTTAAAAACATATTAAAAAATACATATAATTCAAAATTAGCTGAGGCGACATCTATTACGAACCGGTAACAAAGTTATGCATTACATGTTCTGATGTTGACAACTGATTGTAGAATGGCTTCCTTTAAGTTTTTTTTTTAGTCAAAAACACTCGATAAATTTTCTTAAGACTAATATGTTGTAGAATTGAATTGGAAAATACTTTAAAGTAAAATAATTTGTAATAGGGTAAATTCTGATTAAATTTGATGGCAGCGTTTTTGGAACTGCGTCGTAATGCTGATCAAATTCTTGTTGAACTTGAATATTTGGCTAAGTAATAATAGTTCTTTTTATTTTATTTCAACATCCGTTTCATGAAATTTATAGAGAAGCTGAATATGTCCGAGAATATGAGAATAGATGTGCTGTAATCGTTCAATCAGCATGGCGAGGTTGTTGTGTTCGATCTCATATTAAGTTAGCCATTGAAATTCTATTCTTATTTCAAATTAATTAAAAATATATTTCGACAGATATTTAAATCGCTGTGCTACTCTTGTTCAAACATGTTGGCGAATATATAAAGCTAAAGCAATATTTCGACGAAAACTTAAAGTATGATTACAAAAATTTATAGAATTTACATTGATATTTCACCCTGTAGGAACATGTTATTCAACTTCGATTGAAATATTATGATGATAATGCAGTGAAAGTGAGAATAATTTTTCTTTTGTAGCATTATGGAAATCTTTTTGTCGCATCAGATTCAAAAGATATGGCGTGGGTATTATGTGCGCAAATATGTACTTGACTATTACAGTCGAAAACGTTATCTTGCTGGTATTGAACAGAAAAATGAACAAATTAGGTAGTTGTTTTTTTTTAGTTATTTGCAGATACTTTATAAAAGATCTTTTTAAATTAGAACACAACTACGTGATTATCGAGAATATTTAGGTCAAAAACAACTTGAGCAGCAACGACAAGCAAATATTGCAAAGTTAGAAGAAGAAGCTAAGAAAACACATTATTTAGTTAGCACTAAAGTAGTACCTGGAATATACAACTCAAAATATTTAGAGTAAAACATTTTTTTTCTGTTTTATCAATTAAAATCACAATTGACTATTTAACGTAGAGCACCAAAAGAAATGGAAATTATATTGAGAACTACGAAATTCGAGCTACCATCAAAAAAAGTGAAACCAACTAGAAATCAGAAAGATCAAGATATTGCAACATTGACAAAATTTTTACCACCACTGAAATCAAAACCACAAGTATGTTTATTTTCATTACATTTTATGAGCTTCAACAAACTGAATATTGACCAGGGTCCTTTTCGTACACCAGAAGACGTTCGCTATCAACGTTATCGTCCATTAAAACCATCTTTACGATGTGAAACTGATTTTTTTGCAACAGAAAAAATGCGCGAAGAATTGAAACTTCAAGAATGGGTCGATCGAATTCACGATGACACGTAAGTTTTCTTAAGTTAATTACATATCAATCTCCTTATTTACTTTCGTTTTGTAGCTTTAAATCTGGTGTCTGTCGTGATAAACCTCATCCACGTATGCTAGTTGGAGAAGAGCCTTATATAGAACCAACTAAACTTGAACGAGCAGCATTACGAGAACCAAATAAAAAGCAATGGGTCGATGAAAAGGTTTTGATTCTACACAATTTCTAGTAATTAAGATCTATGTTCTTTTTTTAAAGGGTTTCCGATCATTGGTACATGGGATACCCGAGTTCGATAAATTTGAAACGACTTATGTAGAGCCACATTTTTATTATTCAACTTCATAAAATTGTCTATTTTTTTCCTTTTAAAGACAATTTTTTTATATATTTTTTCGATTTTCTTACGAATATATAATCATTGAATGGAATTCTAATTCAGAAAAAAACTACGCTTGATAATCAACATTAAATTAGTCTAATAATAAGTTTTGATTATTTTAAAGTGATTATTCGATTGTTCAAGAATGGTAGTGAGATAACAAATAGACATTAAATTTCTTTCACTTACACAAGAAGAACTAGTGTACAGATTAAATACGAAAATCACCAATTAATCAGTAGTTACTGACAGAAGTTTTACTTCATTTAGAAGATTCTAGTTAAGTTGAAAAAAATAGAAGAGTTCGTGCCAATACCTCTATCTTCTTGATTAATGACCATTTTACGGAGTTTTCCCACGAAATACCGTGATTCTTTTCAAATAGATTTTGAAATCTATTTTAAAGCTCCGAATGCAAACTACACCAACAAAGCACTCGATACGAGTCCATTTTCTTATGAAACTATCGGATTTTATAGTCTCTTCTTTTTCATGATATGAATGTGGATCGTTCTGTTGAGAAGAAAAGGAAAATTGATTCGTATATTTTTATCCCAAAATAGAAACACTAAAAAATGATCGTTTAACTAGTCGAAACGTCGAAATAAATAAAATATATTTATTCACAAACATAATTTTAATAAAATGTTTAAATATTTTATTGAACGATAATTATGTTTAAAAACGCCGCTACCGTTTATTTGTCTTTAATCCGACAATCCAAAAAAATAGTTCGAGGACTATTATTCGTACAGTTCGTAATAGAGATGGGTATAAAAAAGTATCTATAAGTCTTTAGGAATATATACAAACAAGCCATTCTGTTAGATATCAGACGTATTTCATTTAATATAAAGAAAAAATTTTTATAATCATATTCGTTCGAAAAGTCATATGATAAAGGTTCGATCTGTATAAACCGTTTTCGCGTAAAATATATCGTTGATATTAGTGCTGCGTAATTTTATAGTAAAAACAAGTATACAATAGCAATCTCAAAGTAGCTAACTAAGGAAATACTCTGAATAATCATAAGTTTCCAGGTTAAAATTTGAGTATTCTTGAATTTTATTCGTACTACGATCGTAATATATGAGTACTATACTTGAGTAGTCTTATAATAGTACAAGTATCTGATAAATGCTTTTATGTAGTATTTTCAGTAAGATTATCACTGTTGAAAATAATTCTGTACACAGTCGGCTTATTACTACTGTAGTATATATGTATATGTGTGTGTTATATTAAAATTAATGTAAGTATTGAAATCAAAGGCAAGTAGACAATAGTTACCAAAGCACTGCGTTACATAATATTCCTTGAAAGATGTTGAGACGTTTAACAAAACTGACAAGCTGCTGATAATTTTCTAAAAAAAGATGCGTATTCATAACTTCAAATTAGATGTAATTGGTTTTTCTCATGGATATCGTAATCAAATTGTTTTTTTTACTCTGATTTCATTCTTAAAATGAAGGTGTACATGTTTTGTGGAAATTATCCGTATTTGAAAAAATTCATTTAATTTCATTTTTTAACCGGAAACTTCAGTTTTCTCCTTCATGTCATTTCTATGTTGACCCGTTCCTATTGTAATTACATATTAGTAAGCACAGTTTGAAATCAATTATTTCAATACTTCTATCATTCGTAGTTACTCTAATAAAAAAGATATGTTTATATATAGTCAATAGTGTTCTTCAAAGTTTTGAAGATCTCAAAGAGAAACAAGCAAAAGCAGCAATTTGAAATTAAAGTACTGATATGCATGCTATGACTATTTTACTCGTAACTAATTGTTAGATTTATTTGACGAGCTTTTTTTCATTCAATGAAGCTTTTCTTTTCAGCTCTTGTTTTTTTCTTTTTTTGTGATTCTTTCTCCAGTATCAATGTATAACTATTTCCTTTTGTAGGAAATATCATTATAAAAAATTATTAATTGCTTCATTTCGACTGCTGTCACTAACGTTTTTTTTCCGCCACAGTAATAAAATAATGGTCATGTTATTTGATGAAGAAAAAAACGAAATTTCCATTGTAAAATAATCAATATTCTATTCAGTTTCGTATGTTAGAAAACCCATAGCACCTTAATTGTAGTAAAAAGTATCATAAAAAAGCATCTTGAGATTTTGCCACTGTGGGTGATAAATATTTTACAGTTAAATAAATCTTTCTTCGTGTAAATAGATGATTTGCCTAAATTTTTAGGATATATTTTATTACATTCAAAAGTATTATACAAAACGATCTGCTGGCTTATACATAATGCGAACTCCAAATTTCAGTTCCAAAAGTTCTCTACTAACAAATTCATATTATCATAGCTAATGTAGCAACATTTACAGAAAACAACATACGATTTCTAAAAAATAATCTGTTAAAAGGATTGAAAAACAAAATGTCATTTTTCATTTAATAATTATTGCTTTTTCTAATTAAAAAGATGATAAACAACGAAAAAGCATTTTTTCAAGTTTAGTCAAAAAAAAAACAGCTAGTTGTTGCATAGAACTAAAAAAAGTATCCTGAAATAATGGAATAAGTTCATTCATTATTTTTACCTCTAACAATCAAGTTATCGTGTCGATAGGATTATTTTGTGTAGCAAAACTTACTGTTTATTTTTGTTTTTTGACTAAACACTTGATATAATATAATTATCAAGATTAGAAATGTCTTAAATTATTTACTTTTAAATACATCTGACTTTAAATTCCTAGTAGATCTGATAATATACATCTATAGGATCTACACTATTTTCCATAAGATTTATTGTTATATTCAAATTTTAACGAGCGCAGAACTCGTCTATTTAGGCGTACACTTCTTTTTTAAACATATACTGTGTGATTCAAATCGATGTGAAGAATGGGCCTAATGCTATATTTTCTCTTATTGTATGAGAAAAATTGATAAATTTTGGATCTAATAAAAAAAGATTGGCTAGTGGTGGTTTTTTGCTCTTCTCTACTCAACCCTTTTTTTTAAATAAATAAATAAAATGCTCTCTTTCTGTGTATATACGAGAACATGCATACACATTTTACTCAAATGTGATTTAGAGTATATTATGAAATTCAACCAATAAATTCTCGATAAAGCATGAGCTTTATTTCTCGAGCTTAACTTTCAAATTTTCTTCAAAAACTTCAAAAAAACCGTTGAGAATGTCTGATTGTTGTCGCTTGTGTTCATTCATGTAGAAATTCCGTGCATATAGCAGCTATTATAGTTTGTATGTGGTCCGCTCTTGAGTCATTTACATTCTTATGTTTGTCATCTGATTCTAATCTATGATATGATGATAAATTCACCAGTTCATTTTCATATTTATTAACAATTGAAGTCATTTTAATGTATGATCTATCATTAGAAGTATCACTATTATCGAACTTTTAGTGTTTATCTGCAGCAAGAAATGCAAGATCTCATATCCTAATAATTGTTAATTATTCATTAAATGTATATTACTTAAAGGAGAAAGATCTGATTTTGAGAATTTTTGCCAATTTCAAATCAACAAAGTCAATTCAGTAAAAAGAATCAATTTATTTAGAAAATTCGAATATCATAGATTTCTATTGAACTGATTTAAAAAATTTTCGTATTGGTAATAAGTTCTTTTACATTGATGTTAGCCTCTGGGTAGAACTTGGGTGTTAAAATATAGTGACTCCCATTTAGAATGTGAAGTGGATCATACCTATAGTAATCAAGAATGTTGTTGATTACACTGAATATTTAAATCAAATTGATTCGTTTAATTTAAAGTTGATAGACAATGTTAAAAAAAAAAGTTGCCCCTCGATTTCTTTTATTCAGAAGGAGTAAGATATTTTAATGACTTTGATGAAAAATATCTGATTTCAGTTCTTCCTATTGACCATAATGTTCACATAAATGAAATTAAATATAAATGATTCATTACTTTCTCTTGGTCTCTTCTTCATTGTTTGTGTCTAGCTTCACTTTCACTAAAAACAAGTATTTTTCTTCGTCTGAAAAAGATAAATTCTGAAAATGCATAGTTAAGCTGTTACTTTCTCTCATATTCTTTTCAAATTTTTATACTACTGCAAACATTATTCAGCAATAATTCAACAAGAAAAAAAAGGATTGTAAGGAACTTTTGTGCATAAGATATCTTACGTATCTCTTGATTATTTTGTTCTTCTGATGTTTAGTGATCTTTATACATTTATTAGGACACGTCTCTCGTTAATTATTTTTATTTCGTGTTTAGTTGTCCTGTTCTCATGATAGAAAGAAACAAAATTTTCATTGTATTCGTAGTATCGTACACAAAAAAAACGATAAGCAAATGCAAGGTTATATTCGAACTAGGATTTGAAAATGTGTCATATTTGAATTTTTTGTTACTTGATTTTGGGTAGTAACGAAAAATTTTGTATATGTAGACAGAAAAATATATTCTAAAATTTGCGCTCGAAACATGAATCAGAGAAAAAAAGATTAAATCTATTACTGTCTTGTTACAAAAGAAAATGAACAGCAGATGTATGAAATGGTTCTTATCTAATACAATGAAAGGATGCTATGTAGTAATACAAAAGAAAATAACATTGTGATTATTTGATATAATAGTATCTTTTCAGTATTCAAACTTGCAGTAGTCCTGAAATCGAAGCAATTATTAATTGTTAATTTCTTTTAGTTATATTCTATCTGAGAGAAGCCTGAAAAAAAAACGCATTCTATGTCCATGCAAAAAAAAGAAGCTTAATCGAGTTGTTAATTACATTTTTTTCATATTTATTCAGACTTGCCGAGAAAAAAAACGAAACTAACAATGCAATCATTCTCATTCCCAAAATAGTGATCAAAGTAAAATGAATGAGTATTTAGACAGTGAATTTTATTTAATTTTGTTACAAAGTGCTTAAGAAGAACAAATCAAGTTTACACATAAACTAAAAAATTCTAAGATAATAAAGATTTA